CCAGTTTGAACCAAAATTAAGTTTCATTATTATTCTTAACCATTCATTTATAATTTTCGTATGAATTCAATTATTTCTTTTTACATATAACTTCATTTGGGGTCATCCCATTTTCCGGATTAATTATGGTATACCAGTGGTTTTTATACTAGCAGACAAATTGTTTATAATTAAAGCTCATGTTTTTCCTTCAATTATTCGTATTTCAACTATAAAAGTCATTGAATAGCTTGAAGTTTGAATTAATCTTAACTAAGCTGCAAAGAAAGCTACTTATATTTGGTATTCGATAATGTTTGTTCTTCTATCGATTTTGATAGCTCTTGTGACATATTTACTATGGTCGCGACGTTCTTTATACAAATTATCTTGGCAGTTACCAGGTCCATTTGCATATCCCATTATTGGAAACGCTATGAATTTGCATCCAGATAGTAAGTTTTGATTTTTGTATAACTTTTAGATTTTATTTTTTTTTTTAAATAAAAAGAACCTTTGATTTCAATTTATATCAAGATTTACATTCATATTTGGATCGAATTTCAAAGACATATGGAAGCCCGATAAGATGCTGGCTTGGACCGATTTTAGTCGTTTTTATTACGGACGCAGAAAATGTTGAGATTATAATGAAATCCAAAGATTGTCTGAATAAACCGCATACATTTTACAAAATGGTGAAAGATGGTCTTGGAGTAGATGGTCTAGTCACAATAACAGGTATTTTATATTTATATTGACTATAGCAAAGCGAAAAATGCTTTCATTCATCAATGGTGATTTTACGCAGCTCAGCAATAGAAAAACGAGGAAACTCTTAAATGGAAATGATTTTTTTTCACTAATTTTCACCCGAAAATTTAAACAGTTTAAGAAAATGATTATAAATTTTATTTCAATAGGTGAAAAGTGGAGAATCCACAGACGACTTGTCAATCCAACATTAAATCAATCAGCCATGAGAATGCATCTTCCGGTTTTTAATGAAAATATAAAAAAACAAGTTCTCGGTCTACCTACGAATGAGTACTTTGATATTCTGCCATCGATAATAAAATGTTACACGAACATGTTTATTGAAGCAGCACTTGGTTTGGATTGGAAACCTGAGGTGAAGCAAAAATATTTAGAACAAAATATTAAGTGAGCATCTCCTATTCTATGTAGTCTATATATTGTGTTTAATTTGTATAGAAAATTGGATTTTAATCATTAATCTGGGTATTAAAAATGTGTGTCCGGCAAAAACCATTTACATTAGTTGAACCGTTTTGTGTTAAAAGAAGAATTTCATTCGTCGAATTCTTGTAATATTTTTTACAGACTCCACGAAATTCTTGCCGAAAGGTTTCTACAGCCCCTGTTTCATGTTGATCTAATTTGGAATTTTACCAGAGCATCTAAACTCCTCAAAGAATATGGCCAGTATACGCGTCAATTGTGCAAAAATGTAAAATTCAGAAACAAATTTTCAAAAAAACCGATGAAAATGGTCAAAGTTTAATTTTCTTTTAGATTCTTAATAATGAGTCGCGAACAGATCAATCATTCATTGGAAGACTTTCTATTGTGTCAAAAATTAATCCCAAATTTACAAAGGAAGATGTGATTGCCGAGACAGGAACTATTCTCATTAGCGTACATATTTTTATTTTACAATTATTATTTTTGCTCGAAAGAAAAAAAAATGTTTTTTCCTAGGCATCCGAAACAGCTGCAGCGGCTTCAGCATTTGTTGCCTTAATGTTGGCCATGCATCCCGAGCACCAAGAAAAAGTATACCATGAAATTACAACCATAATCCCAGATAAAAATGCTGATTTTTCACATGAAGATCTCAATAAATTGGAGTTTACTGACCTGTGTATCAAGGAAACGTTACGCCTCTTTCCAACAGGTTCAATAATTGGCAGAATTTCAAGTAAATCTATAAAACTGAGTAATAAAGTTGAGGTTCCGCCAAATGTGCCGCTCATGTTTGGACTGCGACAACTTCACACTCAAAACAAATACTTCGGTGCAACGGCAAATGTGTTCGATCCGTATCGTTTTTTGGACGAAAAGATAAAAAATCTACCTAGCGCTGCTTATATCCCGTTCAGTTATGGACCGAGAGATTGTGTTGGCAAGTCATTTATTTTGAGTTATTTTTTTATCAATATATTTCTGAAATGTGTAATTGTTTATTTCAGGCATTTACTATGCAAACGCATCGGTAAAATGTTTTACAGCACATCTAAT